TCTCTTTTGATCTAATCGGTTAATTAGGTTTGCAAGTCAGAAACCAAAAATGGATGAGGTTGGAAATTGTATCTAGTACTACTGCAGGGATTAACAATGTTTGTCTGTATCTAACCCTAACTGTATCAAAATATGAAGACATGTTTTGATGCGGAGCCTCATACAGGTTTGAAATGACAAGAGGGTGAGTAAACTCAGAGTTTGAACCTCTGTGGTTAGTTGTTAACCACTAGGCTCCAACACCCTCTCGTTATAAAGCCCGTCGCTCCTGAACTACATGTGCAGCATCCAGCCACTTTTAAACCTCTGTAATTCCTCAATTGCTGTAATTGCTGAAGGTCCATTAACGTGTTTGGAGTTCATTAACTTGCTGTCAGTGGGTTGCTGTCTCTTTGTGCTGTCTGCTTCTCACTGACTATAAAGAGTCGCTCGCTCTCTCTCTCTCCATCTGCAGGTGCTGTGAAATTAGAGTTGTCATTTAAGGCTACGGGAAGAGCTGCTGTTGTTTTGAGAGGTTATGAATGATTTTGTTTGCTGTTTGTTGTCATTTGAGTAATCATGTGGCTTTTAGAGTGCAGGAGAAAGCGCAAATAGAGAGCAAATATATTTCACACTTGCAACTCCCATGTGTGGTACTGTGCATATGACTGTGTGGCGCTTTTTTTTTTAATGTGTTTTGTCCTGTGCATAGGGAAATGAAAACTGACTGTAAACAACATATGAATGTTACAAACATTTACCAACTTAAAGCATTACCCATGTGAACTGTGCAATTGGAGGGAAAAATGCTGCATTTTCAAATACATTTAAAATGCATTTCATACATGGATACCATAGCTTCCAATAGCACAGCATAAGCAGCGCCATCTAGCAACTGTGTATGTGGGACACCTTTACAATCTCAGCCAGGGTCCAAAATTAACAATCGCAAAGCAGCAAATGTGAGTAAAAATTGTTGAAACTTGATAACTAGCCGCTGCATGCTTCGGAGAGAATAATCTCTCCAATTTTGTAATGAGAATCGCTTTTAAATCTGCTGTCAAAAAAGGAGAAGCTTTAAGGTCTCACAGCAGTTTTCCACCAAAATGAATAATAATAATAATAATAAATGTTTTATTTAAATGATCAAATATTGTTTTTAAAGTATTATTATTAATATTATTGTATAGTCATTTTTGTCCTTAGCTGACCACATGCTTGCTATTACTATTGCTCATACTGAAGGTCCGAGTCCTATCTAGAGACTAGAATTGTCTTCGCAACCACATAAAAATGTGCTAAAGAACATTGAGGATCTTAGCAATGAAATAGCAATGCTCTGGAAACCAGCTACAACACCCTAGCATTGTGTGTCGAACAAACACCACTAAAAAGCTAGTCGCTACAGTTATTGTTACTACTATAAACATCACAATAGTGTGGGATCAAACACTTCTTTCTGAGTCATTCTGCTGTTTTGTTTAAATTGTTACTGCAGTTTTATTATGGGAACAATAACTATGGTTAGAAGGAAACGTTGGATACCATGATAAATAAATATTTTAAGGGCAATTTACTTAATATTTGGCTATGCGTTTATATGATTACATAATTACTGTATCAGATGATCAGCCGCTTGCCAACTGTCTGTTTACTTCCAATTACAAAAATCAGCCTCTTATGCAAATTGCAGGTCACAGTCACATTTCTGTGTACTAAAATAAAAATTGACACACATCCTCATTGGCATACCACTTTGTTGTCTAATACGCTTTTGTGTACAGTATGTTACTCCATATTTAAGCACACATACTCGTGTACATAAGCGCACATGGCCGAACACATGGGTTTGTGCTACTTGTATGTTAAAGCACGCTGTACCTTGCAGGAGCGTTTCCATAGTAACAGGATTGTGCCAGCGCACCTCCTGCGCTCCATGCAGCATAACTCTACACATGCATAACTGAACCTTACCATTAAATGAAAACGAATTCCTTCATTTCTACACCTCTCTCCATTAGCACTGTTTTAAGACTAGCCTCTGCTTTAGTGTGACCATTTGGCCCCCTTGTGGTCAAAATGTGCAGGTTGAGAACAGATGCTTGTCGCCATGTTGACATTGGATCAGATATTGTGGCTGAGAGATGAATCTTTGTTTATTTTTAATAAATAATGTCAGACTTGTGGGCTTGACCAGATATCTCAGATGGGACTGTAAGTTTATGGCTGCTTGTTTTTGGCATATTAGTATGCATTTAGTTAACTAATAATGGAATAAACTACTCTTTGAGTGTTGTTATACCTTGGAGTTAAGGCAAGGCACACCAAGGGCAGTAACTGTACCTATAAAGTTTTAATTAGGGCCCGAGCACCGATGGTGTGAGGACCCTATTGGAATTGCTCAGTTTCTTCTTCCTCTTCTCCAAAATCCATCGCATTTTTGAGGGCCTAAACATGCTCGAAAACTCATGAAACTTTGCACACGTGCCAGAAGTGGCGAAAATTTACATCTTATATGGACTTCAGAAGTGGGTGTGGCAAAGTGGCTCAATAGTGCGACCTATAATATTTCAACAAAGTCCCCCTCGAGCTATGTTTCACATACATGTATGAAATTTGGTAGACACATGTAACACACCAATACCTACAAAAAAGTCCCCCCCGGTACGAAGTCCGAAACCCAACAGGAAGTCTGTTATTTTTAATTTTCTTGGCAAGTTTTGTGCTGTTTTTGCCATTTTCAGGTGTTGCATTTAAACGAACTCATCCTAGAGATTTCAACAGATCAACACCAAATTTGGTCAGTGTAATCTAAAGCCCTTTATGACGTTAAATTGCGAAGATCTAGAGTTTTCGTTGAAGGGCGTGTCGGTGGCGGCCTGACAAACTTCGATGTTTCGCCATGAAACAGGAAGTTGTTATAACTCAAGCATACAACTCAAGTCCGATCTGCCCCAAACTTCACGTTTTATTAGAGTCCTGTCCTGAACACATGCCCATGCCCATATTCAGTTATAGTCATAGCGCCACCAGCTGGCAACAGGAAGTTTGGCACATATGAATGACTTTGACATTTTTAAATGCATATTGCTGACCGTTCGCTGTTTTTCTTAAAGCCACCTGGTGGCGGTGAGCCCGGGTGCGAGGGCCCTTTCAATGCTGCTTGCAGCTTTAATTGCCATTAGAATTCAAAAGCTTTTTTCCCCCTAACTGAAATTATGCCTTTTAAATTCGAATATAATTAGAATTTTGATAATATTTAAGTGGAAAATTCGAATTTAGTTTTTCAGTCATTTTGACAGCCCTATTACACACTAACTAAAGTTAAAAAGGTGAAATCACAATCAACCACCCCTTTAAAAGAACCTTCTTTGTCTTATTGTGAAGATAATTTAAAAAAATCTTTTTCCACTTTAAAAAAACCTTTGGTGGAATGGAAAGATTCCAAAAATGTTAAAGGTTATTCTTGGAACCATCAATGCCAATAAAGAACCTTTATTTTTAAAAGTGTAGAAACTTCTTAGCAATGCCCTGGCAATCACGTGTACTTCTATAACTACAGAATATGTTTGTAAAAAATGTTATTGCTGTATTACGATTCATGAATTTACCTCTTGCATGATAAAATGTGCAAAACAAATCTCAGATGCATTAAAGGAGACACCTTCAGAATTTCATAGAAACTTTGGGGGTGATGTCTTTTGACTTGGGCCGGTAAGCAAACATCTTACAACGCCCTAGCAACCACCCAGATCACCTTAGCAACCTTTTTTTGTTCTAGCTTCACACACACAAGCACCACTCATATTTTCTTCTGAATAAATATGCTGCAGCTTCATAAGCTACCATCCTTCCTACTGGAAGTTTTACTGAACATTAGTGCACAAAACCAAGATGTGATCCGCACCGGCCCAACACTTCTGAGAGAGAGACGGAGCGAGGCTCTCCAGAAAGAGAGAGTGCGTGGTCATTTGATCAGCTATTGGCTGCGGTTTGGCTTTGTTGCTATGGCAACAGCTGGTTCTGTTGTGGTGTAGTTTGTTTGTGGAGCCATGAGCGTGTCCCTGAGTGCTTCTCTCAAGACACACACACAGGACCCAGAGCAGTTTAGTTTGTTTGCCTGTTCGCTTGCTTTTTCTACTGAATTTTGTCCATTTTGATAGAGGGACCTTGAGAGGGCAAAAATGAAACACTAGTTCACAGGTAGGCCTCACGGATGCAGCTGATTGGATGTTCAAGTTTGTAGCATGAGCTTTTGATTGGATATTTGCTCAACAAGTGTGTTTCCTGCTCATTGATTGGTTGTTTTAGTGGCTGCATTGCTGTTGTACTAATTCTAAGAGTTAAAATGCTGCTTGTTGAATACTATTTGGTTTATAATCGTTTATTTTAAAACTGTAGTATGCAACAGCATGACCTCATTACATGTTTATAATTTAGCGAGTTACCATCTCAGAAATACAGTACCATTTAAAAGTTTGGGGGACAGTACAAAATGTATTTGAAAGAAATTACGTTTTTTATTCAGCAAGGATGCATTAAGTTGTGACAGTAAATACATTTAAAGGTGACACTAAAGACTTTTATAATGTGTCAAAAGATTTTTATTTCAAATAAATGCTGTTTTGTTTTTTATTAACCAAAGAATCCTGAAAAAATGTGTCAGTTTCCACAAAAATATGAAGCAACACAACTGTTTTTAATACTGATAATAATTAGAAATGTTTCTTGAGCTTCAAATCAGCATATCAGAATGATTTCTGAAGGATCATGTGACACTGAAGACTTTCAGCTTTGCATCACAGGAATAAATTACATTTTAAGATATACTCAAACAGAAAACTGTTATTTTATTTGTTTATAATGGTTATTTATAATAAGTTGTACAAGAAGGTCATCAGCTTATTTTAAACTTTGTTTCTCTTACTGTTTCTTTCAGTCACTTTTTCTTTGGCTCCATTAAAGTATTGAAAGAGATGGTCAACTCATGGCACTGTTTTTCTGTCCCATCTGTCTCTCAGATCTCCGGTGATGCACCCAGCACTCCCAAGTTTAGTAAAGACCAGCGAGACTTCTTCTTCCCAGCATCGTTCTCCACACCGTGCCTCCACACACACACGTACCCAGCACCAACGCAGGACGGGGAGGCCAAGCTGAGCAAGACCCCTCGACCGCTTCTCATACAGACGCAGACACACAGCACTCCAACACAGATCTACTGCCCGCCCTCCAGCCAACCCGACCAATCACAACAGCGAAAGACGCCTTGCCAGCCAATAGCAAGCATGGCCTTCTTGCCTCACACAGGTACAGCATCTATAGGCTTTCTTGTTGGCTTTTAAATTACTGAAATAATTTTGGAAGTGACTCATAAATAAATCTACTGTGTATAACACTTAGCATACTACGTAGCATACTATTCACTGCATACTGTGCAATATATAATTCGTATACTTACTAGTACAGCATGATTTAGTGAGTGTGCAGGTTTAAATTAGTACACTTATCAGCTGTCCAGTTATCATCTCAGAAATACACTACCATTCAAAGGTTTGGGGTCAGTAAGATTATTTTAGTGGAAGACATTAATTCTTTTATTCGACAAGGGTGCATTAAACTGACGAAAAGTAACAGTGAGAACTTTTATAATGTTATAAAATAATTATATTTCAACTCAATCTTTTAAACTTTCTGTTCATCAAAGAATCCTGAAAAAAAATCTATCAGGGTTTCCACAAAAATATTAAGCAACACAACTGTTTTGAACACTGATGATAATATGAAATGTTTTTTGAGCAGCAAACCCGCATATTAGAATGATTTCTGAAGGATCATGTGACTGAAGACTGGAGTAATGGATGCTGAAAATTCAGCTTTACATCACAGAAATAAATTATATTTTATAAATCATTACAAAATATTTTATTTGTAATGATATTTTACAGTGTCATAGATTGTACTGCATTTCTGATCAAATAAATGCAGCTTGGAAGACTTTTTAAAAAAAAATGTATTTTACCATCCCAAACCTTTGGTAAATATGGTTGTTGTGCGTTTTTATTTCAATTTTGTAGACTAATAAATGAAAGAGAATATGAATATATCATATATTAAAGAATAATAAAGAGAAAAACAGTAATTAATCACACTTGAAAGGTCAAGTTGAGTGCACTGCATTGTGGGATACATTATTCCATGAAGTTTGCTCTGTTGTATACTAGACATTTTGGCAAAGGTAGTAGGTCATGTGGGTATAGTTTGCATACTGAAAAGCTGCAGGCTATGCGCAGTACACTGCATACTAAAAAGTAGCATGGTAGTTTATTTTGAATTCCAACACACCCCTTTTAGTAGATGCTGCTTTGATTTGACACTCATTTGACCGTTCCCACATTTGTCCAGCAGAGGGCGTGTTTGTTCATGAAATTATACATTCTGTTTATGATTTATACTTTATGTAACCACTGCATGCTAGGGATCAACATGCAGCTTATAACTTCAGTATACTCACTCTCATTACTAATACAAAGTCTGTCTCATTTCTTCTTCTAAGATCCACACGCAGAAAGACTGTGTTCGCTGTGTCTCGTTTAGGCAGATGTGTTCTTTGCTTCATACTCGGTTGCTAAGGAAACAAGGATGAAGTGTCCAAGTACATGATTGTGTTAAGTGTGCATGTATACAGCAGAAAGGCCCTGTGTGTGTCCTTGAGGCCAAATGAAAGTGCATGCACTACTACATAATCACATTTGTGTCAGTCAGCTCAATCTTTGAAATGCAGTCACAGTTTGTACCATATTAAACCTCGTCAAAAATTCAATTGTCAAGTGACATTAACATGCATAGTCATCATAAACATACTTAGATGCACACAGACACTGGCACTGTATTATTGTTTACAGTCAGTGGTTATTATTAAGCCCATTAAATAATGTTGTCACTCTCACAACCATAGTAACCTCAATCTTTGACAACACTCTATCTCAGACGTATTTTATTCCGACACTTTAGTGAAGACTGAAAAATAAATGCAGATGTTAAAGTCAATAAACTTCATAAAAAAAAGCTTAATAAACAAAATATAGTTATTAGAAAATGGTTAAACATTAAAAAAGGTAGAAATTAAATTAGAAATGTTGATTTTGCAACTAACTGAAAGAAATTTAAGCGAAAAGCTGAAATAATATTAAGCTAAATAGAAATATAAAAAATGTAAAAAGCAAAGAACAAATGTAATAAAATGTAACTGCAAATTTTAACATAAATGTTCATTCAAAATACTAATAAATGCTGTAATAGTATATAAAAACTAAAATATTATGCATTTGATGCATTAGTACAGAATTCAGTTGATGTTGCACCCACAAAATGTGGCCCATCTGATCATATTTTTGGGTCTGAATGATCTGTTTACTAATGGCACATGTCTCTGTATGTTTGTGTCTGCAGAGGATAGAGAGGAGCCGGTTACTGAGGGTCTGCTGTACCGCCAACAGGAGTCCCATCTGTGCCAGCAGATGAAGATGGCCACCGTCTCTCAGATTCACAGTCACGAGCCCCCGTCCTGCTCAACACTCACCAGCACAGGTAACGTCTGCTCACGATTGAGAGGTTTTCTGACATTTTTAAAGCAGATAATATTTTATCCTGCAAGGGTGCATCAACTTGTTCAGAATCAGAAGTGACAGCATGGGCGTCGCTAGGCCATTTTTAGGGGGGCTATATACTACTCAGCCCCCCTAAAATTTAGCTCCATAAACTGTACACGAATTTGTGATCGCCTCAGTCCCATTTAAATTTCATATTAAAACGGCGGCAGACTTCGATCGGCTCCTCCCCTTCTTTCAGCGCGCAGAGCGAGAAACAGAGGACAAAATGAAAATCCTAGAATCGCCCCTGAGTGACAGTAAATCATTTTATAGTGTTACAAAATGCTGCTCTTGTTAACTTTGTTCATTGAAGGGTCCTGAAAAATATTTCACAGTTTCCACAAAAATATGAAACAGCACAGCTGTTATTAACATTGATGATAATAAGAAATGTTTTTGAGCAGCGAATCAGCATTTTATGCTGATCTCTGAAGGATCATGTGACACTGAAGACTGGAGTAATGATGCTGAAAATACAGCTTTGCATCACATGAATAAACTACATTTTAATATATATTCAAATAGAAACCAGTTATTTTCAATTGTAATAGAATTACACAATATTACTGTTTTTACTGTATCCGTGATCAAATAAATGCAACTTTGATGAGCATAAGAGATTTTTCAAAAACATTGAAAAATCTTACCAACCTCAAACTTTTAAACATTAGTGTAATTAATTAATTAATATATATTATTATAAATATACACAAATAATTATATAACACCTATTCATTCTCGACTTTAATGACCCACATTTACAATACAGTCATCTAAACTAAGAAATACATTTTTTTTGTCAATGATTGTTTACAGAAAGTGACCAGTCAGAGCAGGCAGATGCGTGTCGCATCCGGTCCAGAATTCCACCCAACATGCCCAAACTGGTGATCCCCTCCACAGTCACTAAATTCCCCCCAGAGATAACAGTCACGCCCCCCACGCCCACCCTGCTCTCCCCGAAGGGTAGCATCTCTGAGGAGACCAAACAGAAACTCAAGGTTGGTGTTCTTGTGTCACTGATATTCATTCCTATTTCAAAGGAAAGCAGATAAGCCCTTTGCAATATTAAAACATCAACAGATACAATGACTCAAAACATATATGACCCTGCAGCACAAAAGCAGTCTTAAGTCGCTGGGGTATATTTGTAGCAATAGCCAAAAATACATTGTATGGGTCAAAATGATCGATTTTTCTTTTATGCCAAAAATTATTAGGATATTAATGTGGTCCAGGGTCACATATTTGAACACGTTTAAAATGTGGTATTTTCAAGTATTTCTGGGGCCACTGTAATATCATCAGATGCTCTTTTAAAACGTTCTCCTTCTCATTGTCTGGTTTTCCCATCAGAATGTGATCCTGTCCTCTCAGTCGGCAGCTAACGTGAAGAACGACACTCTCGCTCAGCCCGCTTTAGAGGTGCAAGAGACGTCGAGTCTGGAATCCTCTATGGAAAGCGAGTCGGATGAAGAAGATGACTACATGGACATTTGAACGGTCAGGCTTTGAGCTGCACTGCTGCAGAACTCTCAAGCTGAGCTCGGAAGCGAAATCTCCTTATTTAAATGTGTAGCTGTAGCTAATCGTTGACGGTTTTGTCTTTGTCCGTTTTTCTATAGCGCGTTTTCTCCGCTGTATGCACGTTTTTCAGCGAAAGGGCTTTTTCCTACCCTGGCACTTGTGTACTGTTGGTTTTGCTCCTTTGCTGCTAAGCATGGACTGGGTTTCTATGTCGTTTTGTAGATTTTTTTTGTAGTTCACTTTGTACGATCCTGCAAAGTGCCATTTGTTCTCAAAACGACGCTCACACAGTGGAATCATGGAAAATCGGTACAAAATCATTTCCTAAAGGATGGATTATGTAATATTGACAGTTTGTGTAATGCAGTTTACTCACTCAGAGTTTCCTGGGCATTAAATCCATCACGACGTTGTTTACAGATTTAAGAGGAAGTGAACTGTGCTTGACGTTTGGTAAAAAAAAACATGATTCATATCACAACCAAGTTTCAATGGCATTGTAACCAAACGTGGAATATCCCCTCGAGACGTCAGCATGCAAACGTGATGGTTTTTTTTACAGCCGTGTGGACATGTATCTCTGTTTTCCTGCTTATGTGTTCGAATTATTTTGCATGGAGCATCACGTTTGATTGGTTGTCCATGCTTTAGCTACTGGCTTTTTATATATATATATATAACATTTTGGAGTATTTAAACCACCACAAGTTCCATTTGAGTTGTGTTACTGTTACTGTCTCACATTTTTTACCTGATTTCATGTTTTCATTTGTAGTTTTATTACATTTCCATTTGAGGATCATAAACAACAGCGGCTGAAAGGGCAAAGCATGTCAGTCTTATCACCAGCACTGAGAAGATGTGACTATTATTCATATCACAATTGAAATATGAATGTGATCTAACTAGCTACAGAAGTATTGACTTAATGTTTTATTTTTATTTTTTCAAGATTATGCCAAGATGTATAAATTACACATTTGTTAAATAAGATGAAAAGGCCTAAAAATGGTGCTGATCCCTTATTTTTGGCTTTTTAAAATAATCTTTAAATGGAAATTTCACCCAAAAATGGCAGTTTGTTTATTATTTATTATACGCATATTTTTTTTCTGTGGAACACAAAAGGAGAAATTGAATAGAACGTTCACGCTGCTCTTTTCCATACAATGAAAGTGGATGGAGACCAGAGGGTGTCAGGTTCCCAAAATTACAAAAAGCACTAAAAAATAGTCCATATAACTTGTGCATTCTATTCCAAGGCATTTGATACTTTTGCATGAGGAACAGACTGAAATATAAGCGATTTAAATCTCTCAAATCTCGTTGACGTTTGTGTATATTCTAATATGGTACATCAACCAGATTTTCAGTGAATAATGAATAAAATTTTGGACTGTTCTTCAATTAAGACTATTAAATGCCTTTGAAGTCTTGGAAATATTGCACACAAGCCATATGGACTGCGTTTATGGTGCTTTTTTGGAGCCTTTGGTCACCATTCACTTTCATTTTATGGAAAAGAGCAGCATGAACATCCTGCCAAACATCTCCTTTTGGAGTTTATATTGACAAGATGGTAAGAAAATGAAGACAGAAACTCACTTTTTGGGTAAATTTTCCCTTTAACCTAAGAGAAGTGCCCAAACGTTAAGTTGCATTGAGGTTATGTTCTTGACTTGTGGGATTTTGTTTCAGTTTGGAGTAGCGCTGCTTTCTTGGAGCATTAAGAGCATGTCTGACTGATTGTCTTTTTGCGTTTATGGTGCTTTTTTTGGAGCCTTTGGTCACCATTCACTTTCATTTTATGGAAAAGAGCAGAATGAACATCCTGCCAAACATCTCCTTTTGGAGTTTATATTGACAAGATGGTAAGAAAATGAAGACAGAAACTCACTTTTTGGGTAAATTTTCCCTTTAACCTAAGAGAAGTGCCCAAACGTTAAGTTGCATTGAGGTTATGTTCTTGACTTGTGGGATTTTGTTTCAGTTTGGAGTAGCGCTGCTTTCTTGGAGCATTAAGAGCATGTCTGACTGATTGTCTTTTCAAGTGAATGATTTTCTCGTGACATGTCTGTATGTGGACGCCGCCGTGTTTCCCCACCAGATAATTTCCAGATGTGTTATAGACGGAGGAGTGTGTTTTACCGAACGTTTTCTACTTGTAGAAGGATAAATAGCTACCAGTATTTTTTTGAGTGCAGAATTTTTCAATACAAGTAGAAAAGACTTTGAAGGGATGAAATGTTTCGATGCAATGGGCATGTGTGACCAAACTACCTGTAAACAGATAAAGAGATGTTTCTATTTTTTCCTCTTTGTAAAATAATAATTTGTTTGTTGTTGTCTTTTGTATGCTGTCTCTATGCTTGTGTTTAGAATGTAAGACGGCGGCGGAGGTGGATTTATGCTCTTGTCTCTCTCTAGAGATGGGAGGTTTTCTGTGCTCTTTGGAGATTTATGGGGTATTGCTGTCCTCAGGCTTTTTTCTGAGAAGGTTGATATTTCTGACTTGCTGCATTGATGATATCACAAAACCAAAAATACACTTACAACATTTTTACCTGATCTTTGTTGTTTGGTTATTTTTTGAGATTACAAAGACATTATGAAATCAAACTAATGCTAGTGTACACTTAAAGTCATCATGAAATGACAGTTCACCCTATTTTGTGAATGCATGATATTCTAAACATTCTAAGCAAATGTATTTTTACAAAATAATCACGATTCAGCAGTAACTTTCATACAAGAACCTATACTAAATTTAGTTAGAAAAAAATGTAGGAACAACTGAAACCACATGCAAAAATGGGTGGCCTGTTAAGTGTTACAATGAAATTTTATATATATATATATATATCTATTTATACAATACAATTATTTTTCAGTGCCTTCCCTCAAGTTACCCATTCATAGATGATTGTGTGTATACACATGCATGCTGTTTCTATAAAATCTCTCCACTTTTTGACCTTTATTCCATAACGGGAGTTATGAGAAATGATGACCTCATCGTACTGTAATCATCTTGGGCTGAAGACCACCCCGTCTTGGCCATGTCAAAGGCCGAGTCCAGGCTGGTGTGAAGCACTCAGACTTGAGGAAGTCAGAGGTTTCTTATGAAGTGCTGCCAATGTGTCATTTTAGTCCCTTTGTCAGGCACACTACACTCTGGGTTTGTTTTCTTACATATGGGACCAAATGTGTGTCAGATCTTTTTTAGGGCATGTGGGGGGGTGGGTGGTGATTGTTTGCCTCCTGTGTACGTCTGCTGGCCTCCATCTGACTGAATACCTATGAGTCATAATTAGGGCTGCACGATAAATCGCATGCGATATTTAATGCGCATCTTATCAGTAAAGCCGGTTCTGTAATCAGCGGTAAATCTCCATCACCTGCGGGCTTTCACATTGAGCAGCATTAACTACACAGAGCCGTTGTTCACTGACGAGAACCGGCTTTCTGACAAGATGCGCGTTAAATATCGCATGCGATTTATCGTGCAGCCCTAGTCATAATGTATATTTGGACTTTGATCTAAATTAAGGCCAATATGTAGTTCTGTAGTTCGGTTGAGGCAGTTTAGATGAGCGCTGTAAGGAAACTGGCCTTTAGTTCAGGTGAATGAGCCAAGTGGCCTTGGGCTATTTCTTGTAGTAAATGCTCAAATGTACTCAATGACATGCCCTGACATGTTGACGGCATTTTAATCATATGCTAAATATACTGGAATAAAAACAGCATCTAAAGAATATCTAAAGAAAAAATGTGTTTTTGTTTTTAGTTGGTCTGTGATATCGTGAACAAAATCTAAAACTACAAAGAAAAAAAAAAGTTAATTGAAATAAAGCTGAACTAAAATGTAAATACTGGATAAAAAACTTTAACTTAAAACTTAAAAATAAGTTTAAGTACTACTAATAATAAAACTGAATCGTAGTGTAAAAAAAATAATGAAATATATAAATATAGTATATAAATAATATACTATACTATATATAATATAGTTATCATATATATATATATATAAACTAAATATTATAATACATAGTATATAATAGTATATAAATAATACTAAAATAACACTACAGTAGGTATTTGAACTTGGTCGGACATATAGACCTTCGGAACTACAAATATTAAAATAATGTTTCCTTTGGAAATAAAAAAAAAAACCTGGAAATTTTAAAGAATTTTTAAAATTATCAAAAAAAAAAAAAATCCTGGAATACTGGATAAAAAACTTTAACTTAAAACTTAAAAATAAGTTTAAGTACTACTAATAATAAAACTGAATCGTAGTGTAAAAAAAATAATGAAATATATAAATATAGTATATAAATAATATACTATACTATATATAATATAGTTATCATATATATATATATATAAACTAAATATTATAATACATAGTATATAATAGTATATAAATAATACTAAAATAACACTACAGTAGGTATTTGAACTTGGTCGGACATATAGACCTTCGGAACTACAAATATTAAAATAATGTTTCCTTTGGAAATAAAAAAAAAAACCTGGAAATTTTAAAGAATTTTTAAAATTATCAAAAAAAAATAAATCCTGGAAATTTACATTTATGCATTTGGCAGATGTTTTTATCCAAAGCTACTTGCATTGCATTTAAGGTGTACATTTTTGCGTGCAATTGATGATTTTAAAACCATAGAACCTTCTCCAGTGAGCAAGAACAACTGGGGGAAAAAATCATTGAAATTCATGGAACAAACACTATGGGAATCCTGTAAAAGCTTGGTGTCCAATGCCAGTTCTGTATGATTGTGGCATTCATTTACTCTAGCCTTATTGCATTTCTGCATCATCCAGTTTAACGTCCTCGTCGTCCCCCCTGACGGCTGTACCTGAGCACTTAAAGTGGCCAGTTAGAGCATCAAAAGGGAAGATTGCATGGCTAATGCAGGGAAAGGTGTGAGATTTCTCGTCGGCCCATAGCGGGGGGCTCTTTATAGACCCCACAGCCGTCTGATCCCAGCCCGGAGTGCCTGTGTATTGGCAGCTGTTAAGCTATTGAGTGACGATACATCCACACAAGGCACAGCAAATGGCAGAGGCGGCTAACACCTCCTGACTTTAGTGTCTGCGATACGGGACGGATGCAGAGCTGAGCTGGAGGAAGAAGAGATTTAAGACATGTTGAGTATCCGACCGAGTGACAGTGTTTGATTCTTTCCAGAATGTCCTGCATGCTGAAACGCTTCGACTCTCAGATGAAGAAAAATCTCTGGGATATTATGCGATTAACTTGGCGTAATAAGAGAAAACAATTTCTTCATTCTCGTGAGCCAAAATGCAGTGAAAAGCAGAAAGAAAGCAATGTGTTGTGGTCTTGGCCATGACATTGCCACTTCCTCCAGTTCGTCCTTTCTGACCTATCCGTCCTTTTCTCTCTCTCTCTCACCCAAACTGTCACCCGTCCTAAAAACCAGCAGCAAAGCTGGTTTGAGATCAGCTGATGGAGTCCCAAAGCAAACACATGAAGCCCAGCGTGAGTGCGGCGCGTCCCAGCGGGACTCTCTTGATCCCTGTGGGGTCTACAGTAGGAAACCTCCTGTAACGTTTAGATACGACACTTCACGGAACCATACGTTTCCTCTAAAGAGCAGCCATGTGTTTTCAGTTACACATTAATGATGTTCTAACCTGATCAAAGGGGATATGGATCATTTTATGATGCGCTTCACAGATTTGGAGGGTTAAGCAAAAGTCAGTGAGGGAAAGTTTGACCTTTTGCAACTCACGTTTGCTGTGTCACTATACCATGGCATTGGTTTCTTGAAACTGAAGGATATTTAGCCTCACAAGGCTGTATTTATTGTCATAAGAAAAGTAAAAAATGAAACCGATATGACTCCTAGTGTAAGCTTTGAGAAGTATCTTTAGGGAATGGTACAATCTCTTACCATAATTAACCCGTCTAATGTGTCTGATTTCCAAGCGTATAAGCACCTCGCAGGTGTTAATAAGCCAGCGAGTTCATGTCTCACATGCCTGGCTTTAAAATGGAGGCTGGTGTCCGTTTCAACGACTGACTTGTTTCAAATGA